TTCACAAATAAAACATGAAAGTAACTGTTTGTTTACCTTAGGAAAGAAGCGACCTTTAAATGATTGCTTTGAAATTCTATTATCGTGATACATTTTATGTTTCAAAAGAATGAAATCCCTAGACACAAATCCGAATGTTTTTGTTTTCTTCTTTCTTTTATTTATACATGAACTTTTATAATTTGATAAATGGAAAAATATTTTTGAAATATATTCTAATAGCTTCTTCGTGTAGATGTATGTCTGATACAATGCGTTACTAACGAAATGATATAGTTATTTGTAAACATTAGTCACAAAGAAATTGTGACTATTGTTGTACTGGTCTGAAAAGAAATTGAGTTACATGCACTAATGGTCTACCAAAAGGGTGACACGTGGGTCGCGTGCACAATTGATCTCAAGGAAATGGAAACTTAAGAGGACAGGTGTACTATTGATCTGAAATAATGGAGAAGTGCAACAAAGTGAACATGTTTGCAGTCTTGGTCTGCGTTAAATTTCGATACGTCACGATTGATCAGAATAACGTGAGGGAAACTTATAATAATAACCCGAAAAAATTAATACCTTGTGAAAATTTGTTCTTATTCAGAAAGAAATCGAGTAATCGAGTAACATGCATTATTGACCTCAGGGTAATGAAGACACGTGTACATGTGATCTGAAAAAATACAGACACTACATATATAAACATAATGGAGGGTAATAAAAGCTGTGGAAATTAGTAATTTGTGTGTGGGGGGTTATTAATCTAGCATTTTCTGCTTGCCTCTTGATGAGCCAACATATTTTTTATTAATCAAAATTGAGAAAAGTGTACCAAGACTGTAAGAAAGGTATACAATTCACAATGAAAGACATAATTTAAATTTCATAAATCGTAAATGATTGATTTTGTAGTATTTATCACCATATTTTTGCTGCGTAACTATCGCTGTAAGTACCAATTTAGCTTATTCTGACCAACATTTTTGGTAATTATCTTAGATTTTAGATGCAATTAGCAATATGCAAAAAAACTTTCTTTATGCATTGATCATTTGACAATATTGTTCTGTTTTTTATATATTTTAAAATGTTCATTAAACCCAGCTTGAATCTGGAGAAAGTTGCTTTAATCTAAGAATAGTCCATTTCATCTTCCAATATTGTAATTTCAATGGCTTGTTTAAACCTTGTTTAAAAATTGCAATAATTTGATATCAAATTTATCATTATTGTAAAGGCTCTTCAGCCATCGGTTAAGAATATATATTCATGTCGTTGTAACACAATATTTGTAATTTTGAATTATGTTCAGAACAAATTTTCACTAATACTTGTGATATGCTGATTTTTTTCCGTTCATGTGTTAATAATGTAACACACATAAAAATGTCTAACATACTCAAAGGAATAATAGGATCTACAGAAAAAAATATTGAAATATATAGTACATGTATATATTGTTATTCATTTTTCAAACATTTCCATGAAGCCATATTGTTATTAAGTTTTGAATGCTTTTAAGACGATCTCAAATGCAAACGACACACATTTAGAGACAAGGAGTGTTCCTTAAATGTCAGAGACAGTATTTATAAACAAAAGCGGTACGTTTTTATTATATTGTTTGTATAGAAACAATAAATATTGTGACACAAAGCCTTGCATTTTGCGATCTTTTATATAAATTTAATTATTAAAACACTTCTGAAATCACACAAAGTAGAATATTGTTTTAAATAATACTTAAGTATTTACTTTAAAATATGAATTTGGAAATATTTTCATCAACAGTTTAACTGTGACTACTTGTATAAGGCAGTTCTCAATTACATCAAAGAAAGATATTTTTGATATTAACTATTTGTTAATATTTGTTTAGTAAATAATTTACTGTCGCACACAGGTTAGACAAATTGTCTGACTTCCTATGCTTCTATTTTAGTAATGTTAGGCTTTGTATCTTGACTACCGTGCAATTGCAATATAAATAATGAGTCTTTATCGAGTACTTTATAACAATATCGTTATTTTCTTGAGCAAGAAACTTTACATTCATTTCTACGTACTGTTTAGTTCCAGGAATGGTGTCTAAGTGTTTCAATAGGCTTAGAGCTTCAGACATAGCTGAACTAAAATAAATTCATATAAAAAACATTTAAATAAATATTTGCTTTCAGTCAATTTCCAAACGAGTTCCTCCCTGCTTTTGCTATGAATTGTACCGGATTTTTTTTTAAAGATTTGATAATATAATATATCATAATGCTTTATGTTATGAAATTGCGACAATAATTTTTTTTCAAGCAAACTTTTTAAAAATCTAAAGATATCCGAATGTGTATGTACATCGTACGTATAAGTGCAGGGAGGGGCTATAACTTTATTAAAAAACTCAATTTATAAAATTAATTAACTTATAACCAACACACTTGAAATTGCTCGGAAATCTTTGCCCCTTATTATGAATTTGTTGACATAATCTTTTTGAGATAAATGCATAACATCATACGATTTAGTGAGTTCCGGACACAGACAATTTACATATATTTACATGTTTATATCGAACAAAGAAACAGTTTGACAATTACTGTTCTCAATTATTACCTTGAAGGTCATTTCACAGACATGCTGTGATAAATTATTTCTTTTAATAAAATTTCTTTGGCAATCCTGAGGTTTTCACGTACTCCGCAACACATAATCCTGCTTAATTATAACTTGACCTTTTAATATCACGATGTTTGCAACTATCCAACTTTTCGCCTTCGGCATTTATCTTAATTTACAGGAATATTTTCTTTCCTTAAAACCGTTTTATCATGAAATTAAATGATATTGCGAAGTTTAATTTCGCTTGAATATGGATTGTTCTAAAATTGAAACGACTTTATGTCTCATGATTAGAAAAGAGCTGACAACTAATGGCAAACATTCTAGTACGTCTTTGACTTATTTATGATCTACAATTGCAAACGCAAGAATTTAGCAAACTTCGATATATATAAACATACATGTGCACATTTGTGACTCCGATTTTCATTTGTTAATTACGATTTATCTATTTACAATCACGGGGGAATCACGTGACTTTGTAAAGTAATACCCACGAGAAAATGGCGACTGCTGATCCCCGGTAAGTACCTTATTATGTTTAATTAAGGTGATAACGTTTCTTAAATCAAAACAAAACCTAGTGTATCATATATCATAATTTTCTTCAAATGACAATTGTCACAAAGTGAAAGTACGTTTGTAAAATATTGCATTATATTTTCACGCCGAACCTCATTTTTACTCTATATTCATTGTTGTGAGATTGCATCATCTTTTGTTCAATTTAGAGTTTTCGGGTGAAATTATTATTTAGAGTATTTTTATGGTTTGCATAAATTTCCATGTCTCAATTTAAACATTTTGCCGTTTATTTCACAAAAATCCTTTCAGTAATAAGAAAGTTACATTTTTGTTTTATGAACCAGATATATGTATTATGTCTGTATTTGAAGGACGGGCCTTTATTTTACATAACTATTTTTTCCCGCCGTCCAAGCTTTATTTCGTGCAAATCGATTTTTCATGTTTTGCACGATCCGTTTTCCCGCTCAGTGCTCAGTAGTTTGCTATATATGGGACTAAATTTTAAGTGACATATTGCAATGCACTGGACGTTATACAGGTCACTATGACGGTGACAGACAAATTATATTTGTCATAAAATTACAGCTTGTACAAGGTAAATTTAATTTTCTAGTGATTTTGTTTCATAAATTTTTGCTATTTCGTAAATACTATTTTCTATTAGAAATTATAGTTTTATTTGATTCAGGTTTAGTTATTTGGCAGTAATTTATTGTTTTCTAAATTTTCTAAATTTTTGCAGATTAAATTTTAAAAAGCTCTTTTTATTCTAGTGTTTCGCTATTTGCAAATTTATACCGAGACATGTTAATTGATGTATGTTAATTGAAGTTTTAATTATATTGTAATTGTATAGGAGCCATGAATATTTTATAGATATATATATATCTATTCATAAATAATTTGTTATGGTTCTAACCGTATTTGGGTAACTTTATGTAAAATGCTGCAGTATCGTAATGATTTGTTTCAATCAATTTAATTTTCGTTATCATCTTACTTCATTTCATTTATTATCAGTTTTTGTTATAAGTAAATACAACGTATCTCTAGAGAAAGGATCTTTTCAGTGGCATGATTGGAAGACGTTTATTTATTGGTGGTTATTATGTGGCGTATATTTTAATATATTTGCAACGCAGTATTATGCGGATGTGATTGAATTTTTGTTCCACGGAATGTATGGTGTACTATAGTGGACATTTTTGTTTATTCAAAGAAGCACGTTATTTTATTTGAAACCGACAAAGGTCGAGTCTTTTCCAAGGACTTTATTATACCCTTATGTTTGATTATCATGGACTTACCATGTTTTATACTTTGTAGCTTCTAATTTGAGGACACACCCGAAGATGACACGGGCCCTCCACACGTATGTCCATGGCTAAAGGGTGACGCATGCCCTTGTTCAGGATCCTATCAACTGTGCCAACACTGTAGGAAGTACAGTTACGCTTGATAAGATTTTATACAAGACGCCCCGCCATTGTGACATATTTTGTTTAACAACGCCACCCACTTTTATTGATACATCATGACAGAAACTTTTACGGGAGAAATAGACTGAGATACGTTGATAGTGTTTGTTTGTGCAGTGTTTTATCATAGTAGTTTATCATATACAATCATTTTTTCATTTATAAATAATTCATTTCTGTAAATTAAATTTGTATATATTTTTCCGTACTGAGTTGTTGGTTGTTTTAGATAGCAATTGTGGTCGGCCTGGTATCCCGGCGTAGTCCCTATTGTGACATTTGGTGACCTCGACGTGATTGATACCGGTTGACTATAGTTGTTATTTGAAACAAACCACACTCACTTTACTGCAGCTAGGTTATATAGCTAACACTAGAAACTTTGGTTTTTATTTTAAGTAAAAGTTTTATTTACAATTAAAAGTTAAATTTAGTTTACTTAAAGGTAGTTAAATTGTGTGTCACTTTTAATTTTTTTTTATATTTAGTGTGATTATAATTTCTTATCATTTTCAGATTGATACCGTGACAAATGAAACGGACTTGTGTGTGTGACAGCTATCTAGCTGAGAGGTTATTACAGCCACACAGACCCGACAGTGGACGTTTAGGGTGAGTTCGTTCCATTTTCCTCCTTTTAGGTGTCACTTTATGATGAGACCACCAGTTTTGTAATCTGAAAGTGACCTTTCGGTAAAACACCGGAAGTACACATATACACACATACACTCTGCAATTTAAGGTACTACCCGCCTTGTGTACTTTTTCTAGATATAGAAACTGTGTCCTGTTATCTAGGTGAACATTTAATTTATTGTGTCATTTACAATTTTACTTTGTGTTTACTTTGTGTCTGTAGTATATTGAAACTGGCCATATACCTTATATATTTTTGCACTGTGGGGTAAAGTGCTACGCGACATTGAGTTTTTGGGTCGTAGTTTGGACTTTGAAGTTTAAAGTATTTTGAACAGTTTTAATTATTGCCTACTGTCTACTGTACACTTAAGATTATTATTATACAACCTTAGTGAGATACTTAGATGAGTTTGAAACTTAGTGTTTGTAGTGGTGAGGTATAGTGTTTAGAATATATGATACATTGTTTATTTTAGTACTGTGTACAGTGAAGGTACATTTTGATTATAGCGCTAGAGTGATAAATGTGTTTAATTATATTGTGTTACACTGATGTGTAGTGTTATAGTGCACCGTGATTGCACTTAGTGAATATAGCGTTTTGTGTTTAAGGGTTGTAGTGTTACCCTTTAATGATACTTTGATATCATTGTTCTACCTCACATTTAGATTTTACTTGTATCCTAAGTTGTTGTTGTTGTAGTGTTACAGTGTAGGAAATATACATAATAAGTTCAAGATGACTAGTGTAAATGAGTTGATGAAGGTAGGTCAAGAGTTAGGGTATACAGATGAGGCATTGAGAAACTTTGTTAAAGAGGAGCAAGCAAGGGAGCGTGAAGAAAGACATAGTAGGTTAGAAGCTGAGAAGGAACGTTTTGAAGCTGAGAAGGAACGTTTTGAGGCTGAGAAGGAACGTTTAGAAGCTGAGAAGGATAGGTTAGAATTAGAAGCTAGGTTAGCAAAAGAGAAGTTAAGTAATGAGAAAGAGAAGTTAGATTATGAGTTTAAGATTTCTAGGGAGAAGTTAGATTATGCTCGTCAGTTAGAAAGAGAGAAGGAGGAAGCCGAAACTAGGAAGTTAGAAATAGTGATAGAAATGGAAAAAGAGAAGTTAAGTAATGAAGCTAGGGTTGCAAAGGAGAAGTTAGAAATAGCTCGTCAGTTAAGAAAGAGAGAAGGAGGAAGCAGAAGCTAGGAAGTTAGATACAGAATATAAGATGAAGATAGAGTTAGATATGTTAGGTAAGAAGAGTGTAGGTAAGGTTAAGGTTAAGATGACTCCATTTGACGAAAAGATTGATTCTATGGATGCGTATTTGAATGTTTATGAAACTTATGCGTCTGCTCAGAATTGGGAACATGAAATGTGGTCACTAAACTTACCGTTTCTGTTAAAAGGTACTGCTAGGGAGGTATTTGATAGGCTTCCATTAGAAGATAGGACGGATTATGATAAGCTGAAAGATGCTTTGTTAAGGCAGTTTGAGTTGACTGATGATGGGTATAAGAAGAAGTTTAGGACTGAAAGGCCCCGTGAAAATGAGACTTTTGTTATGTTCCTAGCTAGAATCTCTAGATACTTAGATGGTTGGCTAAGATTGAGTAAGGTGGAGAAGACTTATGAAAAGTTATTAGACTTCATAGTAAGGGATCAATTTTTAGATATCTGCAATAGAGAACTATATCAGAACCTTAGTAGTAAGAAGTTGTTTTCAGCCCGTGAAGTAGCGGAAGATGCAGATTTGTTTGCCAAGACTAGAGGAGGTCCGAAGTATGTAGTGAATCTTGGAATTAAAGAAAGAGCTAAGCCTTATGCACTGCCGAGTAGACCTGTAGATAAAAATCAAGGTAGTAGTTATCGTATGCAAAGAGGTAACGATAGACTGGTAAATAGAGGTAGAGCATCTCAGCAGTATGAAGGTTATAAATGCACATATTGTGGTCGTTTAGGGCATACAGCATTTTTCTGTAGAAATAAGGCTACAAATAAAGCTAACGCAGCGGAAGACATAGAACCGAACTCAATGAATCCAAGTAAGAATGATAGTTATCAGGGTAATAGAAGGCGAGGAGGTTATAGAGGTAGGAGTAGAGGTAGAGGAAGAAATAGAGATGCAGATTCGAAGATTTCGATGCCGAGATCAGATAGTGGTAGTAGTTTGATAGAACTTGGGGATTTTGAAGACGTGGGTACAGTTACTATAAATTCATGTCCGACAACTAGAGGTATATGTAATGGTAAAGCTATAGTTGCAATGAGAGATACTGGGTGTACATGTGTCATAGTACGAAGGAATTTGGTAAATGCAAATCAATTGTTAGGGAAGTTCAGACGATGTAAGTACATTGATGGTAGTGAGCACAGATTAGAAATGGCGTTAATTGATCTTGATTGTCCGTATTACAGGGGTACTGTAGAAGCACTATGTGTAGATAATCCTACAAATGATGTAATTATCGGTAACATAGAGGGTGCTGTAGAACCAAATTTTGGTAAGTTAGCTTCAGCAGTAGAAACAAGATCGCAGAGTAAAGTTAAAGCTCATAGAAGACTTAAAGTTCCTTCACAGATTTTAGACATCACTAATGTAGAGTTTGTAGAGAAGCAGCAGGCAGATAGTACATTAGATGGTTGTAGAAAGAAAGCAGAGGAAGGTACGGTTAGAAACTGTAGAGGTAATGGGCAAGTGAAGTTTCAGATCAGGAATAAGATGTTGTTTAGAGAGTTTACGGCAGGAAATGGTGACGTAAGTAGGCAGTTAGTAGTTCCTAAGGATCTTAGGGAGACTGTGTTAAAAGTAGCGCATGACTCGCTTTTGGCAGGACATCTTGGTATTCGGAAGACAAGTGATAGAGTCTTAGGGGAGTTTTATTGGCCAGGTGTTCTTGTAGAGGTTAGACGATATTGTCAGTCTTGTGATATTTGTCAACGTACTATTTCTAAAGGTAGAATAAGTAAGGTAACTTTAGGTAAGATGCCTTTGATTGATACTCCTTTTAAGAGAGTTGCCGTTGACATTGTTGGTCCGATCGAACCGATGACTGAGAGGAAGAACCGATATATTTTGACCATGGTAGACTATGCTACCAGATATCCTGAAGCAATTGCATTGCCTAGTAGAGACTGAAAGAGTAGCCGAAGCATTAGTTGACATGTATAGTAGATTAGGGGTTCCAGAGGAAATGCTTACAGATTGTGGATCACAATTTACTTCACAAATTATGAATGAGGTTAGTAGGTTGCTGTCTCTTAGACAGTTAACAACTACACCGTATCATCCGATGTGTAATGGTTTAGTGGAGAAATTTAATGGTAGTTTAAAGCAGATGTTGAAACGGATGTGTAGTGAAAGACCTACAGATTGGGATAAGTATTTGAATGCTATGTTGTTTGCGTATCGGGAAGTTCCACAAGAGAGTTTAGGATTCTCGCCATTTGAATTGTTATATGGACGTAGTATAAGAGGTCCAATTACCATTTTGAGAGAGTTATGGTCAGGAAAAACAGAGAATGACGAAGTTAAGACAACTTATCAGTATGTAGTTGATTTGCAAGAAAGACTAGAAAGTACATGTAAGATAGCACAGCAGGAGTTAGAGAAAAGCAGTATTAGGTATAGAAAGTATTACAACAGGAAAGCTAGAGATAGAACTTTAAGAAGGGAAGTAAAGTACTGGTTCTTATACCTACAAAACGCAATAAGTTGTTGTTACAATGGAAAGGTCCATTTGTAGTTTCCGAGGTCGTGAACAAATTAGATTATCGGATAGACATTGGTAACAATAAGATCAAAACTTTCCATGCCAATATGCTGAAGGAGTATGTTGAAAGAAATTTCGAACCAGAACGAGGTGCATTGGCAAAGGTAAGTGCAGCTATTGTAGAAGCGGAAAATGGGTATGATAGATTAGAGGAAGATGATAGTTTAGAAACAAGTTACCAAGATAATAGTGACAAATTGTTATGTCCATTGAAGAAAGGTTCAGAGACATATAAAGATGTTCAGGTCAATCCTGACTTACAAACAGATTGTAAGATTCAGATTGCAACCTTGTTAAAGAAATTTTCAGATGTTTTAACAGATATACCCGGAAATACGTCATTAGTTCAGCATGACATTAAGTTGACTACGTCAGAACCGGTAAGGACTAAGGGTTATCCTATTCCTTTTCACTCACAGCAGATAGTAAAGGAAGAAGTTGATAAAATGCTAGAGTTGGGAGTTATCGAACCTTCTAATGCTCCGTTTTCTAGTCCAATTGTCCTTATCAGGAAAAAGGATAACACGATTAGGTTCTGTATTGATTTTAGACAGATCAATAAATGCACGGTATTTGATGCAGAACCGATGCCCAATATGGAACAGATATTTTCGAAATTATCAAAATACAGGTATTTTTCGAAAATTGACCTTAGTAAAGGATACTGGCAAGTTCCTTTGTCTGACAATGCAAAACCTTTGACAGCATTTGAAACCCCGTCGGGACTTTTTCAATTCCGGAAAATGCCCTTTGGTTTAGTCAATGCCCCTGCAACGTTCTGTAGACTGATGAGAAAGGTTTTGAAAGATCTAGATCACTCAGATAGTTTTATAGATGATATTTTGGTCTATACAGTCACATTGCCAGAGCATATCAATGCATTGTATGAGTTATTTACCCAATTAAGAGAGTCTAGGCTTACTGCTAGACCGTCCAAGTGTTTCATATGTTTTGAAAAATTGTAATGTTTAGGTCATATGATAGGAGGTAGTAAGTCCATTGAACCTGTTCTCAGTAAGGTCAAGGCAATTCAGGAGACCGAGAGACCCACGACTAAGCGAGGAGTCCGGCAATTTTTAGGGGTTGTGTCTTGGTACCGGAAGTTCATCCCTAACTTTGCCGCCATTGCTGTTCCGTTGACCGATTTGACAAAAAAGTTTCAACCAAATCGTATTGAATGGGGTGAAAGTCAGGAAAAGGCTTTTCAGACTCTTAAGGCTAGTTTGACCGGTCCGCCCATTTTAAAATTACCAGATTTAGACAAGATATTTATTCTCAGAGTTGATGCTTCTGATTGTGGATTAGGATCTGTATTACTTCAAGAACAAGGTGAGGAGAAATTTCCAGTAGCTTATGCCAGTAGAAAGTTGTTACCAAGAGAACAGAAGTATTCTGTAATAGAGAAGGAGTGCCTTGGTATTGTTTGGGCAATTTCTAAATTTCACAGATACTTGTTTGGTAAGGAATTTATTCTAGAGACAGATCACCAGCCGCTTTTGTATCTTAACAAGGCAAAGTTAAGTAACTCTAGAATAATGAGATGGTCTTTGCTTTTGCAGCCATACAGGATGAGGATTAGAGCATTCCCAGGTAGAGAAAACATAGGTGCAGATTATTTAAGCAGGGTATAATGTAGAGTGTAGTGTAGTATTTATGGTGGTTATAAATATGGTGTACAGTATTTCTACTTACATTTTTGCAATTTGTCGTTTTCACTTTGTTGTATTTAAAGAAAATTTATCAATTTTCTTATTTAAAGGGGGGCGTAAGTGTCACAAAGTGAAAGTACGTTTGTAAAATATTGCATTATATTTTCACGCCGAACCTCATTTTTACTCTATATTCATTGTTGTGAGATTGCATCATCTTTTGTTCAATTTAGAGTTTTCGGGTGAAATTATTATTTAGAGTATTTTTATGGTTTGCATAAATTTCCATGTCTCAATTTAAACATTTTGCCGTTTATTTCACAAAAATCCTTTCAGTAATAAGAAAGTTACATTTTTGTTTTATGAACCAGATATATGTATTATGTCTGTATTTGAAAGACGGGCCTTTATTTTACATAACTATTTTTCCCGCCGTCCAAGCTTTATTTCGTGCAAATCGATTTTTCATGTTTTGCACGATCCGTTTTCCCGCTCAGTACTCAGTAGTTTGCTATATATGGACTAAATTTTAAGTGACATATTGCAATGCACTGGACGTTATACAGGTCACTATGACGGTGACAGACAAATTATATTTGTCATAAAATTACAGCTTGTACAAGGTAAATTTAATTTTCTAGTGATTTTGTTTCATAAATTTTTGCTATTTCGTAAATACTATTTTCTATTAGAATTATAGTTTATTTGATTCAGGTTTAGTTATTTGGCAGTAATTTATTGTTTTCTAAATTTTCTAAATTTTTGCAGATTAAATTTTAAAAGCTCTTTTTATTCTAGTGTTTCGCTATTGCAAATTTATACCGAGACATGTTAATTGATGTATGTTAATTGAAGTTTTAATTATATTGTAATTGTATAGGAGCCATGAATATTTTATAGATATATATATCTATTCATAAATAATTTGTTATGGTTCTACCGTATTTGTGTAACTTTATGTAAAATGCTGCAGTATCGTAATGATTTGTTTCAATCAATTTAATTTTCGTTATCATCTTACTTCATTTCATTTATTATCAGTTTTTGTTATAAGTAAATACAACGTATCTCTAGAGAATGATCTTCAGTGGCATGATTGGAAGACGTTTATTTATTGGTGGTTATTATGTGGCGTATATTTGAATATATTTGCAACGCAGTATTATGCGGATGTGATTGAATTTTTGTTCCACGGAATGTATGGTGTACTATAGTGGACATTTTGTTTATTCAAAGAAGCACGTTATTTTATTTGAAACCGACAAAGGTCGAGTCTTTTCCAAGGGACTTTATTATACCCTTATGTTTGATTATCATGGAACTTACCATGTTTTATACTTTGTAGCTTCTTATTTGAGGACACACACGAAGATGACACGGGCCCTCCACACGTATGTCCATGGCTAAAGGGTGACGCATGCCCTTGTTCAGGATCCTATCAACTGTGCCAACACTGTAGGAAGTACAGTTACGCTTGATAAGATTTTATACAAGACGCCCGCCATTGTGACGAATTTTGTTTAACAACGCCACCACTTTATTGATACATCATGACAGAAACTTTACGGGAGAAATAGACTGAGATACGTTGATAGTGTTTGTTTGTGCAGTGACTTATCATAGTAGTTTATCATATACAATCATTTTTCATTTATAAATATTCATTTCTGTAAATAAATTTGTATATATTTTTCCGTACTGAGTTGTTGGTTGTTTTAGATAGCAATTGTGGTCGGCCTGGTATCCCGGCGTAGTCCCTATTGTGACAACAATACAAAGTGCATTATCCTACGTTTTGTAGTTTTTGAGAACATTGGTTGAATTGTGTGTAAATTGCACATATTGCGATAGTAATTCGCACGAAGCGATATAATTTGGTACCAAAATAAATGAAAATAAGCTTACTTTCAGCACTAAAGACACAAAATCAATCATTTTATTGACATCTGTTATCGTAGAAGTCCATATAAAATATATTTTCGAACGTCTGTAGCCTACAAATGTTCTTTGCAAGTGTTTAGTAAGTAAAACGAAAAATTTCTGGATTTTAAGTTGCACGAAAACAAAATAGTAAGTTTCACGCACAGTTTCCATTAGCATACATATACATTAAAAGAAAGTTAAAATTCATATGTAAAGAGATAGAAAATACTTATTTCAATTATTCAAAATCAGTTTTTGTCCGCCCGCCCGTCCGACATTCACCATACTATAACCCGGGTTTGCACCAGTGCAACCCGGCCAATAAAATTAGCGGACAGACAGCACATTTAGTAAACACCTAATGCTACTGTAAACAAAATTCATGTGGCTACCCATCCTGGTCAAAATATAACATTTTGATAAAGTTAAACAAAATGCATAGCGTGAAGGAAATTTATTAAAAATCTTGAATTCTACACAACCATACTTCATTAATATGTCCATACCGTTGTAGTACAAAAATATGTCATCTAAGTTTTAATTGGTATCTGGAAATTCAGTTGTTTGTTAAACATTTTTATTGATGCCATTGAACAACTTAAAGTATTTTAAACTGTCAAGTTACTTACATCAATTCTTTACTATAGTACTTTTTATTTTCAATTTTCTAAAATGTCCATGAAAACAAATATCTGTTATATTTGGAAAAAAATTTCATTGGTAATAAAGAAAACTTCGGAAAAGGAGTGCTCCAGGAGTGGTTCATTGTATTATACTGTTTGTATATAGACAGT